GCAGGATCTTGATGCTGGGATTTACCCCTGACCTAAGCCAGTCCTAGATGTCATGCAAGTGCTCTGGATAGAAAGGGAGGTCTCCAGGCACAAACCCAGAACCTTCGCATATGGGCCAGCTTTGAAGAGCACCTCATTTTACCTCTGTTCCATTTCTAACCTCTAGTTGCACTTTTTAACTTTCTAAAGAGAACCAGGAAAGAGCATGTTTAACAGATATATGAAGGATAAAATACTTGTTTCCCCAAAAGATAAAGCAATTTATTTTTGGAGAATATTCTATTGCATTATGATTATATTGTCAAAAAATTACATAATTATAAATGTATATTTTATGTTCTTTTAAAAATTTTACACATACAGCCATAAAACATTTTTTCCTTATTTGTGTAAGTTGGCCTTTCAGAGCTAAAAAAATATGCTAAAAACTAATAAAGTTTGGTAAATTGCTTCATTACCAATACATCATGGTGCCTTTTACTGGAAAATACCACTCAAAATGGCAAGTAAAAAATTTTTTTTAAATAAAACTAAACACAACTCATCTTTGTATAGCTTTTCATATTTCAATGTGCTATTTTGTTTTCTGTCAAAACATTTGGTTATCATCCTGTGGATTGAGGCTTGGACATTTATATAATTATTCTTTCACAGAGAATGAAAAAGAAATAAAGAGGAGACAGACATTTTCTGGGCAAAAGAAACAGAAGCTAGCAGAAACAGGACTGTGATCCCTAATTAATTCAAAGTTAATTGCATTGTTGATAATCCTGCACTTAAAATCTTCATACAGGAAATGTTTATGGCAGCAAATTGACAGTAATTTAACTACATTAAATCTTACTACCATTAAAAGAAAAAGATGAATGTTACATTAAACAAGCTTAAGAAAATGGTAAAGCCTAGTTCTTGTTTAACAAGGCAACTGGTAAATCATTAAAATGACTGACCTAGAATCTCAAAGCACAGTGAAAGCAGTAGTTGCATTTCAAGATGGCGCCAAAACCATAGGGTCTGTCTTGGCCCGTGAGTCAGGCTGAGCAGAAGTTTTGCTTTTATTCTCACTCTGTCTTAAATGAAGAACCGTTGGAAAGAAAGAGATCTTATGTGGCAGCTGGATCAAAAATGCTATTTTACTATTTTGAAAAGAATTGAGATTGAACTAGTTAAATGAATATATGTAAATATGTGTGTATGTATATACGAATATTGTGTCATCGAAAAAGTCATGATGTTAATGTATATTTGACTGCATATATACATATATATAGAGACATATACATGAAGAAGTATCAAATATCATTTTGAAGTTATATGAACTTCAAAATGTTCATATAAAATGGAATTAAAATAAAGTTATTTTGATGAAAAAATTAATTCATTCCGTTTTTCTCATAATATGTATTTCTCATGACCTTTCTGAACATCCTTCACATGTGTTTTATCAGTTATTTTAAATTGCGTCAGCATCTGACAGAAAGAAATTACTTTGGAGTTAGCTTTGATTTTAAATTCTATCTCTGTTACTTATGAATAGTAAGACCAACTTTTTGTATCTTGATGTATTAATATGTAAAGGGCAAGACTAAGGCAAGGCTGGAATAGCACAATGGATATGAAATGGACTGCCATTATAATGGGAAATCAATATGTTCTTATGTTATCTTGACTATTTCAAGCAAAATATAATTATCCTGATTATTAAATGAAATACTTCCAATACTCTACTGTGGATGTACAGAAAGGGACTTCAGTGTGATGCCAAAATATCTTGATAGTTCAATTTGTACTTCAGACAACTTTTAAAGAACTTACTCCTAAAAAAACCGTTTATTGACACTGATAAAGGATCTTAGTCTAACCTGTGAACCATTAGAGGCACAATTCTGTATTTCTTAAAATAATTCTAGCTATACACGGTGAGTCAAATGTACACTAAATTGCAAGATAAATATGGCTTTTTCTCCAGAGTTCAATTTTACTCAGAATTTTATCTAAGAATGCATATTAAAATATTATATATTAGTATGTTACTATGTATAGCAACATATATACTGGAAGACTAGGGGTAATATACACGTTTTATCTTCTATGCCTTTAGTGTATTTAATGGAAAAAATTTGAAAATATTGGCCTCATTAATGTCTATAATGCTCATCTGCTACTGAACAATATCAGATAATTAAAATTTAAAAAATTTTCTATAAGATGTATGCACTTGAAAGGAAAAGACAGAGAGTGAGAGAAAGAAAGTAAGAAAGCACTCCTCCCCCCAGGGAGAATGTTCATGCGATAATCCATTCTCCTTTATTCTCCTCTTGGGATTTTGGACATCCATGAACAAACACCTGGCATGTTTTTCAAGCTGCTGAATTTAGGACTTGAACCACATAGTTGGCCATGTGGGATCCAGCCACCTTAACTACAATGCTTTCTTACCATGTGAGAATTAAAATTGTTTAAAGTTTATTTCCTCCTTAGAAAAAGAGAGACACTCCCAGCATGGCCACCCGCAGTCTCAGTCAGCCCAGATCACAGCTGCAGGCACATGCCTGGTTACATACACATGTTCAGGGAGGTCTCTGGACATGAACCCAGGATCTCTGCCATGTGGTTCTAGTTATGTTAAAACTGCATCACTACCTTGTCTCCAAAGAACTGATATTTTCTATTTAAATATTAATAGGTTTTGGTAAGATACTTATTGTCGCCTTATTGCTAGCTTTAGAAAAGCAGTGATTTTTATAAATTAATATTGATTTTTTGAAAATGAAAAAAGGTTCAGTAGGCAGTTCACCAGTTTAAATGCTTCAGCAAATTTGTCTATTTATCACTCAAGTTGGAATGCAATCAGTGAAGTTGTACCTGTATATTAACTGGACTGGACAGTAGGGTTTCTATCACAGGGCACTAAAACAATTCATGGAAGGTGGATAAATTCAAATATAATTTTTTGACAAATTCCTCACATTTGAATTAATTTGGATATTCATAAACCAAATTCATGGCTAAATGCTTCTTGACACTTTGCAATCCAGTATACTGACATAAAAGAAACAGGAGCAGTAGAGTTTTAGGAAATAATTATGAACACTCTTAGTTTGCTCTTTTTGGGTTATGATACTTAGTTGAGGAAATTATTAAATTATTTCTTGAATCTTAACAAATAATTCTGAAAAACGAATGGGCAAATGAATGAAATAGCAGAAGTTGAAGAAGAAAAGTAAGCAAGATTTGGAAAAAATAAAAAGGTAACTGATGTTTTTTTCTTAGGTTGCACAGTGATTCTTGGATACTAGATGCATTTCAGCGTATCCACAGTGAAGAAACCAAGTTCTTTATACCGTATGATTTGGAGATTTCCAATCAGGAGCTAAGCTATATAGTGAAAAGATCTGAGCAATGGAGAGGGGTCAATGGTGAAAGAAGGAAGGTGAGTTGATTTGAAGTAGTTTTCTTTTCTCTTTTTTTAAAGACAGGATCTAGCTGAGATTAAAGGCTAACACAATTGCACATGACTTTTGGGCCTCCCATGTGGTCCAACCTGAGGAGCATAGTGTCTTAGCAGCATACATTACTATAGCTGAGCCAAGTTTTGTTTCTGACTGAGCAAAGACAACTCACTGTGCTAACTTATCAGTATATTGTTAAATTTTTTCTTCTTGACCTTGAGGTTGGGTATTAGTCTGCCATCATTTAAAAAAACTTGCAATTTGACATTATATTACTTGTATTATTGGTCAAAACTAGGAGAATAGACTAGATAGTTCATAGATTTAGCACTGTTATTTTGTAAGAGAAACTATGTGTGTGTATTATATATATATGTATGTATATGTATGTTTGTGTGTGTATGTACACATATGGAAAAACTACACAAAGATCATAAAGTAAGCAAAAGGAGCTAGCAATTGACTAGTCAGTGGTGTGGTGGTTAGGGCAGCTGAATTCTACATGGCTAAATGAGTGGCTAGAGGTCCAGATTCTGAAGCTTGAAAAACACACTGGACATGTTTCTCTCCTAAAAGACCATTCTTCATGGGGGAGGTGCTTTCTTACTTTATTGCTCTCCCTGGCAATCACATATTCCTGTTGGTAAATTTTAAAAAGAGGGAACCAGCAGTTAGCGTAAAGGCTATGTCGCTGGACTCCCACATAGTCGACTGCGGTTCGCGTCCCAGTGGCTTAGAACTCACGCCGGGCGCGTGTGCGTGCATGCCCAAGATCCCGAGAGGAGAATGGAAGAGAAGGGATTGTGGCATGACCATCCCCCCTGGGGGATGATTTCTCGCTTTCTGTCTCTATGTCTCTCTCTGTCTGGCGAGCGCACGCGCCCTATAGCGAAAACCTCTCCAAAAATAAATAAATAAATATAGAAAAAAAAATAAAGCTAGTGACAGGGCACTCACAGGTGAAAAGAGTGTTGGTTCAAAGGTAGCCTTGAGTGAACAGGAGGAAGAGATTGCTCTTCCTTACTTCCTCCTTAGATTTCCTTGGTAGTCAGTCCCCTGGATTCTCTTCCCTCTTTCTGTAATTTATTTTCTTTTTTTCCTTTAGAGACATATAATGTACCTCATTTCATTTCCTACCGAATGTAAATGTTAGTTTTTTTTTTAAACTCCACATGGCTTTACTATTAATATACTTAATATTCGTTGAATTGTGTTTGAGTGTTATAACATTACACTTTTAAACATTTCCAAGACCAGTGTTGCTGATCAAAAGAAAGCCAAATTTCACTTTACCATATCTATCTATCTATCATCTACCTATCTATCCACACACACACACACATATATGTTATATATAGTCTAGTTTCTTCAAAAATGTTGATGTGCTTGATTGAGCCAATGCACAGTGTATTTTGAATGGAAAATTCATTTGTGTGTTGTGATGGTGTATAGTGAATTAATGTAGAGAATGAATAAATTTTAAAAAATCTATGACTAATACATGGTTCGTAAAAAGCCAGAATTGTTGAAATTATCCGAACAATTAAGCAAAGAGTTCTTTTTTCTCTAGAGTAATGTCATAGCATTTGGGGTAGGTAAAGACCATTTTATTTTTATTTATTTATTTTTTAGAGAGATATTTTTGCTATAGGACATATGCACTCCCTAGAGAGACAGAGAAAGACAGAAAGTGAGAAATCATTCCCTATGGGGAATATCCGTGCAGCAATCACTTCTTCTCTATTCTCCTCTCAGGATTTTGGGTACACAAGCACATACACCCGGTGTGAGTTTTAAACTGCCAGATCCGGGCTTGAACCGTGGTCGACTACATGGGAGTCTAGTGATATAATCATTATGCCATCTGCTGGTCCCCTATTTTAAGTTTATAACATGGAAAATTGAGATTTTAGAAGTTATCCAAAGTTGGGTACCAAAATGAGATGAAAAATAATACTTAAAAAGACAAAACAGTAGAACACAATAATTTAAGTATTCCTTATTTTATTTTAGAAAAGAGAAAGAGAAAAAATAATGCTTAGGTGCAAAAAAAAATTGAAGGAGTTGTAAAGTTAGTCTCTAAATTTGGTATTTATGTTCTTCTTTGTAAAACGGGATAAGGATACTGGATATGTGATGGAAGAGAAGAAAGAATTAGGTCAAGTGGCATTACACAACAGTCAGAATGGCTTGTATTACTACCTGGCCCATAATGGACAAATGTGGAACTGAAGAAGAGACCTGAAACCTCGAGTGTCCATAATTCTGTGTCGATCCATTCAAATGGATCAAACAAAAGATTATTTTATTAAATTTAATGGAAAGGAAGTCAATTGGATCTTCAATAGAATATTTTGGCTTCAATCCAGTTGGACCATTAATAGAAATTCATACATTGGGCCAGCTGGGGGTGTGGTAGTTGAAATAGCTGGATCACACATGGCCCACTGTACCATTAGAGTTCTGGACCCAGCAGCTTGAGAAGCATGCTGAGCGTGTGTGTTTGTGCCCAAAATCCTGAATGGAGAAATGGAGAAAAAGGATTGCTGCACCACGATGTTCCCTAGGGGTTGCTCTCTCATTTTCCATCTCTCTCTCTGTCTCTCTCTAGCAAGTACACATGCTCTATAACAAATAAACAAAAACAAAAATAAATTAATGTGCCTAGATAAACTGCTATTGTTTCCTTTATAACAATGACTCAGCCTGAATGGAATCAGAGTTGTTTATGCAAATCATTGAAAAATCTACAGAGCACCTGTTATTGTTTTGCTATTAGGATTAGGTTTGTAAAGAATACACAGACATTCTCAAAATTAAATGGACAAAAGCCTTAGTATCTATGCCATAAAGCCTTTTTTTCCTTATGGTTAATTTTTGTATGTTATTCTTCTTAAACTGTCTAATGTTTGCTTGCTTAGTTTATTTCAATGTGGAAGCAGGATCGTCTTATTGAATAATTGATGTATTAACCTCCAGAAACAATGCCAATTTAATTGCAAACAATCATCTATAAACTAAAATGCCAAATTAAGAGTGAAATAGGCATTGTATATAAAAGTATTTCAAATAAGTAGTCTAGAATTCTTGTGCTTTCTAATTTTGAACTAGTTGTTTGCCATAGTGCTAGCTATTAAGTACATGCTTCTCATTTTTATGATTGGGAATAAAAATTGCCTCATGAATGAACACTTTATAATATGTTTAATTTCCTTTTATTAAATTGATAAATGCAAAAGCACAGAACACATTTATAGTATGATGAGAATTTAGGATTATTGCATTTTATAATTTTTATATTGTTCATACATATAATTTGTCATTTGTGCAAGGACAGCCAGATTATAATTTCGAAGTATTTTAGCCATTTTTTTTGATAAAGGAAAGGTCACTTTCAGTAGTCAGAAAAGACATCATTCTATTAAACTAATTTGCCTACATGCAAATTTTGTCATTTTTACCTCATTAACTATTTATCATGGAGTAAAAAAATATATATTCATGAAGGGGCAGCTCACAGCCTGATGGAGCTGGAACTAATATTTTGCAACTCTAATGATTTTTTGCATCCTTAATTAGATAGCATAAGGTTGATATGATTAGGTCAGGATGTAGTGTTTTTCATTAAAATACATTTTAGAAGCTGTATTCATAATCTGCCCTTGCAATTAAATAATGAGCCTATGAATTTAATATTATCGACCCAATTATTATCCCATGCAAACGTATACCTTTAATAAATTTGTGCCGTAGGACCTTCATTAGCAACAGAAAGAATGATATTTCCAGGTACATAGATTGAATGGTTATGGTTAAACATATATAATGGTTTGAAATGTATCAGGAATCAAAGTTTCAGTACCTATCCATTTAATTCCAAAATGCATCTTACTATTTGTTGAAGACTAATTTACATTGTAATTATTTTCTTAAAGAAACTACCACTTTAAAATGGGCTATTGAAGCTCATAAAAATTGCAGGATATTAGGTGGAGATGGAGGGTAAGAGAAAGTTGTGCATCACGGGACGATGCTGTGTACATTTAGAGATCCATTCAAGAACAAAATTGGAAAGCATAAAACCTAAAATGTCTATTTCTCAAGTGTCTGAATTATCTGAGCACGACCAAAAGCAATTAATGAAGATTATAATTTTTGTCGTCGTGTGTTAGAATAGTTTTCGTTACTAGAAGGCTGTGCAGTGGAAGTTCATAAGGTACTGTGACAAGGAATTACTGGTCTCTTATCATGAATGTGTACAGAGAAACATTAAAATCCTTGGAAACAAACCCAGCTCCCTCCTATTGACCTAACTACTTTTGCGCACTAGACAATGATTACAATTGTTTAAGATCTTTAATTTATTCTCGATGAAATTCTAATGTAAAGGTTATGTACAATTTATACAATTTTAGTAAAGATGATTAAGAATAAATGAACTCATATTCAGTAATGAATTATAGAGAGAGGTAAAATAAAGTATTGTCATCTAGACCGCCAACGGCAGACAACATATCTTTGTGACTACAGTGTTTTCCTAGAAGTAGCGGTCCTTTAAACTTGGGAAATACGGTCAGGTCAGAGGAAAAATATTTTGATCAAGGATATGAAAGGCAAGGTAACAGCCACAGATTAAATGAGGGAATGATGATGGAGATTTCGGGTGGAGATTCTTAGATTTCTCTATGCAAAAAGAGATAGTGAATAAATGAGCTGGGATTTATGGAGTAGTAAGTATTCATCATCTTGACATGCAATGGAGGAATGGACTCAAGGCCTAGACCATTTTAGAAGTAGGTGAGGATCAATGATAAAACAAATTGGACTTAGCCAAGGTTGAAATTGTGAATGGGATATGAGAGCATATGGAAATGGAAACCAGGAGTCAGACAGAATCCCAAATAGGTGAGAGAATGGTGACTATAAAACAAAGAATCTTCTATTTTAATCCTTGGGTTCTGTGTAAACAGAGTGCATTGAT